GACCACTCCCCCTCCTGCATGCCAAGGCCCCTTCTGGAGCCTGCACCCCAACTCCCTGCTCTGAGCCCCCTCCTGGATCCCAACCCCCTGTCCGTGCCCTGAGCCCCCTCCCCGAGACCACTCCCCCTCCTGCATGCCAAGGCCCCTTCTGGAGCCTGCACCCCAACTCCCAGCCCTGAGCCCCCTCCCCGAGACCACTCCCCCTCCTGCATGCCAAGGCCCCTTCTGGAGCCTGCACCCCAACTCCCAGCCCTGAGCCCCCTCCTGCACCCAAACTGCCTCCTGGAGCCCGCACTGTCCCTTGACCCAGCCCTGAGCCCCCTCCCAGAGCCCACACCTCTACCCCCGTCCTGTACTCCAACCTCCTACCCAATCCTGGAGCCCTCATCCCCTCCTGCACCCCAACTCCCTGCCCCAGCCCTGAATCCTCTCCTGCACACAAACTCACTCCCAGAGACCACACTCCGTCCTGCACCAATACCCCCAGCCCGGAGCCCTCTCCTGGAGCCCCCTCCCACACCCAAACTCTCTCTCCCAGAGCCTGCTCCCCAACCCCCTGCCCCAGCCCTGAGCTCCTGCCCGGAGCCCCCTCCCGCACCCAAACTCTCTCTCCCAGAGCCTGCACCCCAGCCCTGAGCCCGCTCCCTCTCCTGCACCCCAACCACCTGCCCCAGCCCAGTGAAAGTGAGTGAGGGTGGGAGAGAGCAACTGACAGGGAGGAGGGAAGCAGTGAGTGGCGTGGGGCAGGGGTGTGGCCTCGGGGCAGGGGTGTTTGGGTGTGTGTGATTAGACAGTTGGCACCCCTACTTGGGCCCCTGGTGACCTGCCCTGCCCCTGAGTGGAATTGGGGGGTGGGGGTGTCTGCCGGGGCTGGCAGTGGAGATGGAGCTGGTGAATGAACAGCAGCAGAGAGGCTCTCACACGGGGAGACCCTACGTTCCTGGCCAGAGAGACCTGGTTCCAGCTGACGACAATACAGCCAAGGCCCAGCTGGGCTGTGGAGCAGCTGAATGAGGGTCTAGATCAGGCTCTCACTTTCCCTAAAACCATATTGTCACTGGGCACCCACCTAGCGGCTCGGACAGTGACCCCCCCCCCCCAGGCCCCGAGTGCACGCAGCCAGCAGCTGTAAAAGACCTTTTATGTCCAGCACTCACGCTGAGTCCGTACCAGTATTAAAAACAAGAAGCAAGACAAGCAGCAGGGTTTGTTTGAACAGTGCATAGTCCCCTGCTTCCACTCCATCTATCTGGCTGAACATCGCTATGGCCTTGGGGCCCAGTAAGGGGGTGAGATGCCAGAGCCTGTTTGCAGGGTCAATCTGGTGCACATTGCAGCCTTCTCAAAAGCAGTAAGGAAGGCATCTTATCCTCCCTTTCCTTAAACTGGCGCAGGCAGCAACTTTATATCTGAGTTCCCTGTGGGCTTGGCCACCCTGGGACCATCCCCACTCACCATGGTAGGGGTCACTCTGCCTCTCAGCTCTGCCATCGCCAGTTCATGCGTGTCTGCTCTTCCCCATACTTCCGCTGTCTCTCACTGTCCTCCCATTCTTTCAGTTTCAGCTCCACAGTGGGAAGATCCCCTGCTGGTCAGGGAGGTGGGTCCCAGGATCGCCTGGCTGCTCTCAGCCCCTCCCGCGGCCTCAGTTGGGTTGGGGACTGGTGTGGCCCTTGGGGCTGCCTGGCTGCTCCCAGGCTCTGTCATGGCCCCAGCTGGGTCAGGAACCGGCTCCTTAGAGCGATCCTCCTTTTCCAACTGAGCAGTGAGCTGTGCCTTGGGGAGCTTTCCAATGTGCAGCCCTCTCTCTGCACAGCTCTACAAGGTCCTTCTTAAGGAGATGGTTATAGGCCGTCTCCACGCTGTTCCCAAGTGGTCACGGACTCCTAGCCCTGTGCTCTCTCAGCTCCCCAACCACTTCAATGTGACAGCCCTTCTCGGGGGTCTGCTCTCTCTTGGGGTTAAGCTTAGGCTCCTCCACCTCCTGGAACCGCACCTCTCAGCCTTCAGCATGCCTGCTAATCCCCCTTCATTCTACTGCTCCCCCGTCACTCACTGCAGGATACTTTGTCCATGGGGTACAGTTTATCCCACCACTGCCACCAGTTGTCATGGACCCACAGGTCCGTTGCTCTGGAAATGGTCTGTATGAAGCCAGCCAGGACTCTGGGGTGGCGTGACTCCCTTCAGGGCATGCTGCCTAGGGAAAAAAGCCTCCTCGGCTACCGTCTTCCTGGTCTGACCTTGGAGCATTCAGCATCCTGGTTCACACCGTACAATTCCCCATGGTGGGTACACCTGGACAGGACCTCTGGGGAAGCCAGAGGGCCCTGCACCCCAACTCCGCAGTCAGCCATGACTCTCAGCCAGCATTGCAAAACAAGGTTTATTAGCCGACAGGAACACAGGGTAGAATAGATCTTGTTAGCACAGAAATCAGTGACTTTCAGCCGAGTCCATCTTGGGCAGTGGTTCTCAAACTTTTGTACTGGTGACCCCTTTCACATAGCAAGCCTCTGAGTGTGACCCCCCCCCCTTATCAATTTAAAACACGTTTTTATATATTTAACACCATTATACATGCTGGAGGAAAAGCGGGGTTTGAGGTGGAGGCTGACCACTCGCGCCATCCCATGTAATAACCTTGGGACCCCCTGAGGGGTCCCAACCCCCAGTTTGAGAACCCCTGATCTTGGGGGGCCCTGGGCTCCCCCTCTTCCAGTCCCCCACAGCAGACTGCCCTGGATCCTGCTGCCTGGCCTCCCCCAGGTCCCTTGCTCCTCCTCCGGTCTTTGTCTTGCTTCCCAGGCAAAGTGTCACTTGGTCACATCCCCCTCCTGGGTCTCAGGTTACAAAGCCATCATCCAGTCAGCTGGGCAGCCTTACCTGCCCCGAGGGCATCAGCAAAAGTCACACACCCAATTCCCACCACTAGGCATTGGTGCCGTACACAGGGAAATGGAGGTACGCACTGTGTTAGTATAGAACAGTAAGATTCACGTGGAACATAACAGGATGAAAGACCCTGCTTCGTCACAGCATCAAACACCCATGCACCACCCCACAGCCCCAGTGAGTGCAGAAAGCATTGGTCCCACAGGGCTCCAGCCGCACCCTGCAGCCAAGCCAGGATGGTGGCACCCCTCACTTCCTGTTGGCCTGCGCTGTTCCGATGACGCACTCGTTCACCTGGAAGGGGGAGAGATGGAGTTGAGGGGGGAGCTGCAGCATGGTGACATGGGCAACCCCCTTCCATCTGCCTCTGTTACCTGCACAAAAATCTCTGTTACTCTCGCACTCTGGGGGCATCCACCTTTACCCACTTCCTAGGGCTCAGGCCTAAGCCTCTGTGGGTTTGCAGGACCTTCTACCAGTGAAAGAGCCTTCCACTGTAATATCCTTGTCCTCTCTTTATTGACAATTACCAAGCAGAATACACATGCTAAACAAACAGGGCTCTGCTCACCAACCCTGATCAAGCAGGCGGACTTTCCCTGTTGGCCAGGCCAGGTCAGTCTCGTCTGGGTCCTGGTTGTGGCACATCACGGTCCTGCAGAGGATTCTTAGCAGCTTTGATCTTAGGCTGAGTCTTAGAGGTGAGTTTTTCTTCTTCTGTCCTTTCTTCCTGCTCGTCTCCTTCTTGGACCCCAGTTTATAGAGTGAAACTTGAATCCTGCTTAGCTAGACCTTAACCAATCATTTTACTAAAATTTTACTAACCAATCCAAACATATTGTAACAAAATTTTCTAACCAATCTAGCAAAATTAATTATGTCACAGACAGAAACAATCAAAGAACCAAGCAGAGACCGGACAAACAATAGAGAAGTGGGGACCGTAAAGACAAAACAATAAAGAAATGAGGATTTCACAACCACAACTATTGATAAGAGATTTCTTGCCCAACAGGATGCTATCAAACTAAGTTTTCTTTAACCATCTTAAGATCTGTTTCTTTATCTGGTGATAGTGGGTGCTATTAGGACCGGATCTCTTTCTTAACAGCCCAATATTACATTGTTTTGCCCATAGGCAAAGATGCAAACATGGTACCCATCCAGAGCAGACTGCAGAGAGGGAGGAGGAGGAGGCAGCGGAGGAAGGCGTGTGCCAACGTGCTCCACATCGGACTATCTGCACCATAAAGGAGTCTCTGCAGGGCCTGGAGGCGGAAGACATGGACCTGGCTGCGGAGGCAGACCAGGCCCTGTCCTCCCTTCTCCAGGGGAAGCCTCAGAACCCCTGCAGAGACCCAGTGCAGCCCCGGCCAGAAAAACTCCAGAGCTACCCTCTGGAGCCAGGCCAGGATCCCCGGGGCCGGACACAGGGTGTGGAGCAGGTGCCAGAGCATGGACAGAACTAGTAGGTTAAGCACCAGTGCCCTCCCCCGCAGGGTCTCATAGACCTTAAGGTCAGAAGGGACCATTATGATCATCTAGTCTGACCTCCTGCACAACGCAGGCCACAGAATCTCACCCACTCACTCCTGTAACAAATCCCTAACCTATGTCTGAGTTATTGAAGTCCTCAAATCGTGGTTTAAAGACCTCAAGGTGCAGAGAATCCTCCAGCAAGTGACCCGTGCCCCATGCTGCAGAGAAAGGCGAAAAACCTCCAGGGCCTCTGCCAATCTGTCCTGGAGGAAAATTCCTTCCCGACCCCAAATATGGTGATCAGCTGAACCCTGAGCATGTGGGCAAGACTCGCCAGCCAGCACCCAGGAAAGAATTCTCTGTTGTAACTCAGATCCCACCCCATCTAACATCTGCAGCCCCTCACCCACCCTGGTCTCCAAACCCTGCCAGTTCTCTGGCAGAAAAGGATGCGTGGCGGAAAGGTAAACACCAAGATAGAGCAGTGGACTCGCGCTCCTCCGAATGTCTTGAAGCGTGGGTGGGGTGCATATAGTGAGGCCTTATTGGAAATCCTGGGAGGTGGACTGGCGCAAGGCCGCCCACTTCTAAAGGCCCCTCCCCCAGCCTAGCGGGTGGGACCACTGGAACCAGGGACCAAATAAATACGGGGGACAACTAATGAAAAACAGGGTCGGGAGTGAAGGTCACAGGTTCAAAACAAGGGTACCGGATGGGGACACCGAGCAGAGGACCCTGGACAGCGCCCACTGCTCCTCAGACCTGTCAAGGGAGCCAGCGGACGCTGCCCAGTGGAACACTGCCCAGAGGCGTGAGACCAGGGAAGAATGGAAATAGGCCCCACAGTTGCAGAACACCCCCTCGTCCAGCATCCTCCTCCTGGTAGTGTAGATGGGGACTTTGGCCAGAGCCAGGAGGAGGTTGACGAGGAGGTCTCGCGACTTCGTGGAGCCACGGATAGGGTGTGCAAAAAGGAACAGGTGTGGGGAAAAGTGCAGCTGGAATAGGGGCTGCAACCTGGCACGTTCCAGATAGGTGTGCGCCTGGTTCTCCCTCACGCCGCAGAAGGGACAGGCCTCGGGAATGGGGATGAACCAGGCCAGATACACGCCCGTGCTCACGGCCCCGTGAAGGAACCACCAACCAATGTTCCTGGCAGGCCGTGGGACCAGGGTGGAATAGAGGTTGGCCCACTGGCTCCTCACCCTCCGCAGGTGGTAAATAGTCCCGCTACTTGGTGTCGGGGCGGGACAAGAGGGTGAGGAGATGGAACGTGTGGAGCACGAACGTGTACAGTTGGTCCCTGGGCACGGTTTGAAAATGAACCGGCTGCAGGGTGGTTGCCGGCTCGGAGTATGGGAGTGGGGAAGCCGGGAGGCCTCGCGGAACAGGGACTCGATAAAAAGGTCCAGAGGGCCTGGGATAAGGGGGGCGGAGAGCGCCCTCTCGCAGGGCCCACCGCAGGAAGACAAGAGAAGTGGGTGACAAGGCAGCACCCACCTCCTGGAGTACACGATAGGGGGGTCGGAAGGGTGGAGAACCCCATGCGCCGGCCGAGCGCATGGGGATCCACCCAGTCCCCCAGTTGTAGTCCAGGAGGTCTCCGACCCTGGTGGTTTCTGCCAGGACCAACCTCCGGCGCACCGAGGGAGACTCTGCCACCTGCACACGTAGATCGGGGCTGTGTAGCAGGGGATCTGTGAGGAGGTCCGCCCCCTCGGTGACCACAACGGACCTGGTCGCTGAAAAGAGCTTCCAGGTCTGGAGGAGGTCCTGGTAGAAGACCAGCAGCTCTGAGAGGTCTTGCAGAAGACCCCTCGGGTGGAGATAAAGGAGCTGCCAGTCCTATCGGAGCCCTCAGAGGCGGCGGAGGAAGGCGTGAGCCAATGTGCTCCACGCTAGATTACCTGCACCGTAAAGGAGGCTCTGCAGGGCCTGGAGGCGGAAGACACAGAGGCAGACCAGGCCCTGCCCTCCCTCCTCCAGGGGAAGACTCAGAACCCCTGCAGAGACCCAGTGCAGCCCCGGCCAGAAGAACGCCAGGCCCCAGGAGTTGAAGGATGCCTGCTGGAGGTGGCTGCAGCCCGAGCAATGGACCGCGAATGACGTTGCCAAACAGATTGTCCTGGAGCACTTTGTGCACATCCTCCCAACCCGAGGGAGGGCCTGCGTGCTCCAGCACTGGCCGACGACGCTGAGCGCGGCCGTCTCTCTAATGGAGGACTTCTTAGTCGCGGAGGTTCTGATCAGGCCAGCGATGCAGGTCCCAGCACTTGTCCCTGTGTGTCTTGAAAAACGACAGCTTCTCAAAAAATGTCCTGTTTTAACTCCGGGTATCCCCTAGCTGGATCTATGGGTCCTAAAATTACCTTCATTCTTGAATTCAAACCGTCTAACAATGCCGTCTGAAAAGCTAAAGTATTGAAATCCAGTGGGGTTCCAGTTCCTACTGGCACAACCCCGGCAGCCATGGCCAGTATCTCCTTTTTAATAACATCCAATTCCGGGGAGTCACAGGGGCCGTGTTCTGTGACATGGAACAATTTCCCCAGTTGTCGGGCAGACCTCACAACCTTCGTTACTTTATTCACCCAGTCCCATCTGGTAGCAAGAACACTGCTTACACCTAACGGCTCAACTGCCATCTCAACAGGTAACTGTGTAGGAGATACTGTAGTCATATCTTCAACTTGTATTAATGAACGCCCTGAAGGTCTCTTCTCCCAAAACTACCTTGACAGGAAGAAGAGAATCCATGCAGAGGCAAGAGCACGCACAGCTCCCACTGATTTGAACAGCTGTGCATACCCAGTCCTGCTGAGGATAGACTCTACCGCATGGATACTCAGGGGTAGCTAAATAAGCAGACTCCAGTTTGGAAATCGAATCCTTGGTTTGTTACTAGGATGAGGACTTGTAATAGCCTTGCTGATAAGGAATCACCTGTAAGGGAAGAATACTTAGTTCCTCCCTCGGAGATCTGAAGAGTAGGTGTATAAGGAAAGGCATACTACTCTATTTTCAGAGCCTCATGGGAACTCAACCTGTTGGAGTAGTAGCTGGGATTCCAGATTCCACCTCCACCACTTGTGAGCTGACTGGACATACGACAAGCTTGGGATGGGCCAGATTGGAAACACTGCAGAGGTGCTGACAGCCAGCACTGTGTTGCTCGGTAAGACCACGGCACCTCTGCTAGTCTGTCACATCCCACATCCTCTTACACTCCCACCCAGTGAATTACCACCAGCAAATCCCACCTTAGCAAACAGTGGAACAGGAAGAGCCACCAATAGATTTGGAACAATCAGGTAGCCCCCTTGCTTCCTTATCCTCTCACCAGCATTGCAGGGTACTTTCTCGGGACTGCTACGAAATCCAGCTTCTTGTATTCATTCCCAGGTGGGCGTTCTGTGTGCTGTTTAATCCTCTCATCTGTGCAGAAATGGAACTCAACTGGCTTTGTTACCTGGCCAGCAGTTCTCTTCACAGGTTGTCCTAAAAAGGAGAAAACCCCATGAGACTGATACTGAGGAGGAGCAGTTTATGCTCATCCAAAACCTGTGTTCTCTACGGAGTCATGTGCATTCTATCGGGCCTGCAAAGCCCTCCTCAGCCCTTTATATTTCACAAGATAGTTAAGCTGTGTTTCCAGGTAGAGTTGTGGCCCAATACCCTTTAGACATGCCATTTGATGTGGTTCCAGAAACATGCTGTTAAGAATGTGGAAAAATCTGTTTTGGTGGATACATCTACCTCTGTCTATTTGATGATAGTCATGCTGTCTGCTACATGTAGGGTGACCAGATAGAAAGTGTGAAAAATCGGGACAGGAGCTGGGGGTGGTAATAGGCACCTACATAAGAAAAAGCCCCAAATATCGGGAACGTCCTATAAAATCGGGACATCTGGTGACCCTAGGTACGTGGTGCACAGCTCTGACTCAGTCCCGGGTCGAGTTACATCTGCAAGAAGGCAGATGATGGTTGTAGACAGCTCATCCCCAGCACTTACATACTAAAGAACTTGAAATGGTGAAAAGCCTCAGTCCTGAAGCTGTGGGGAAGGGGAGGGGCTGGAGACTAAGGCCTTGTCTACAGTGAAATGAATGCAGATTAAGGTAGGGTATGAATTTAAACCAGAGTAGCTATTCCTCACTAACTCCCTGTGTGCGTGCTTTTATCCTGGGTTAACCCAATTCACTTGGATTACAGTACTATGGAATAAAGCCCTTATTCTAGAAACAAGAGCATCCACACAGAGCGTCAAAGTGACCCAGTGCAGACAACCCCTGAGAAGCAACTGGAACTCAGGGCTACTTCTGCATTGCTCCACAGGCTTTGCGTCCCTGTCCATCAATGGCTATTAGCCAGGATGGACCTATCCTCCATGAAGTTCTCTAGTTCTTTTTTTTAAACCTCCTTATAGTCTCGGCCTTCACAACATCCTGTGGCAAGGAGTTCCACAGGTTGACACTGCGTTGTGTGAAGAAATACTTCCTTTTGTTTGTTTTTAAACCTGCTGCTGTGGCAAGGCACCTCTTTTCTCGTGCCAGCCTTAGCATTTCTCCCCTCTGGCTAATCCGTGCCACTCAGGCAGGGTTTGCCTTCCCCCTTCGGTGCTCCTTGGCTGTGTCTTCAGGGTAGGCCGGAGGGTAAGCCTAAGGGTTGCTCCTTCCCCACTCAAAGAAGGGAAATAGTCCCATAGACCCAAACAAAGGATGATATCTTTCCCCGCCTCCTCGCTGGGACGGGGTGTCAGTCCTTCCCCTAGCCAGCACTCGGGCTTGTCTGCTTCCCCCATGGGAAGGGGCACAGCCTCTCCTCTTGGAGAAGCTACTTCCCTGCTGCTCCTAGCCTGGTAACAGCTGGTGTCTCTCTCCTCCCTTTCTCTCACTGGAGAAGGGGGTTTTAAAGGGTCTCAGGCAGCCCTTACTTGGATTCAGGTGTCTCTAATTAACCTGAGGTAACCCCTTCTCAGTTTGTAGGAAAAAGGGCCTTGAACATTCTAGGGCTAACATATCTGCCTTCCACTACCCTCTTGCAGCCGTCCGGCCTGACTGTCTCACACTGCCTATTCATTTCATTGGGTGATCCCTAGTTCTTGTGTTATGAGGAGTAAACAACACTTCCTTATTTACTTTCTCCACACCAGTCATGATTTTATAGACCTCTGTCATATTCCCCCCACCACCCCCGGTCGTCTCTTTTCCAAGCTGAAAAGTCCCAGTCTTTCTAATCTCTCCTCATATGGAAGCTGTTCCAGACCCCTCATCATTTTTGTTGCCCTTTTCCAATGCCAATATTTCTTTTTTGAGATGGGACGACCACATCTGCATGCAGTATTCAAGATGTGGATATTCCATGGATTTATATCGAGGACATATGACCTTTTCTGCCTGATTATCTATCCCTTTCCTAATGATTCCCAATATTCTGTTCTCTTTTTGACTGCCGCTGCACATTGAGTGGATGTTTCCAAAGAACTACCCACAATGATTTCAAGAGCTTTTCTGAGGGGTAATAGCTAATTCAGACCCCATCAATTTATATGTATAGTTGGGATTATATTTCCCAATGTGCATTTATCAACATTGAATTTCATCTGCCATTTTGCCCAGTCACCCAGTTCTGTGAGCTCCCTTTGTAACTATTCACAGTCTGCCGGGGACTTAACCAGCTTGAGTCATTTTCTATCATCTACACATTTTACCACTTCACTATTTACCCCTTTTTCCAGATCATTTATGAGTATTTTGAACAGTACTGGTCCCAGAACAGACCCCTGAGGGACATCGCTGTTTACCTCTCGTAATTTTAAAAACTGACCTTTTTGTTTCCTATCTTTTAACCAGTTAATGATCCATGAGAGGACCTTCCCCTCTTATCCCATGACAGCTTACTTTGCTTAAGAGCCTTTGATGAGGGACCTTGTCAAAGGCTTTCTGGAAATCTAAGTACAGTACACTATATCCCTGGATCACCCTGGTCCATGTTTGTTGTGTTTGTTGACCCCGCTCATAGAATTCTAGCAGATTGGTGAGGCATGGGTTCACTTTACAAAAACCATGTTGACTCTTCCCCAATAAATCATGTTCATCTCTGTGTCTGATAAGTCTGTTCTTTACTATAGTTTTAACCAGTTTGCCCGATACTGAAGTTAGGCTTACAGGCCTGTAATTTCTGGGATCACCTCTGGAGCTGGTTGCATATTTTCTGGTTTTGTTTTTTTTGGTGGGTGGATCATCTTCCTTTCCAGTAGGTGACTGTGCATCTCACTGCTTCAGCTCTGGTCCAACATTTGCATTGCTGGGCAATCTTGTGTTGGGCTGCCCGTCTTCTGGATCCCCTACTGCAGGGAAGAACAGTGTCAAGTCTCCCATGTGGTCTTTGGAAAGGGCAGTCAGTCCCACATAATGTATTTCAATATCTACTGGGAAGAGTCACTGAAATCCAGACAGCACTACGTACAGATATGCTTCAGAGGAGACTAACAGCAGCTAATTGTTACACTGCTAATTGGAAACCTAAAATCACTCCTGTTATTTGCACTATGGTACAAAGGCCCCTTGCACATCTAGGCTGCAAGTCAGAACTCAGCCTCTCTCAGTAGCAACTTCTGAGTACTACCATCAGCAAAGGGTCTCTTCCCGCTTCAGTCCAATTCCAGATATCCATACATCCTGGAAGTCACCAGCGCACAACTGGTTATCTCAGCCACCAGGTATGAAACTGAACTGCCTTCTGACCCCCACAGATGGGGCCTCCGGGTTAGGAAATAGGCACAGTGACAGGATCTTACGCACAAGCTCACACAGCTGCTGCATGTGGTGGATTAAGCAGATGTCAGTCTCCAGTCATATCAATACCGGACCATTCATGAAGAGTTGAGACTGCTATGTCATCATTGCTCACCTAATCCAGGACACTAAGGGTCCCTCCTCAGCCATGTGGGAAGAACCCCTGGACCCAGGACTCAACTAAATACGTGGGACAACTGAGAAATACCAGGGCAGGAAGTGGAGATCACAGGTTCAAAACTAGGGATCCAGAGGGGGATACTGATCAGAGAACCCCAGTCAGCGCCTGGTGCACCTCAAAGCCGTCTCCTCCAAGACCTCCCGCTCCATCTGCTCTATCACCACATCCCTCTGCCGGCTGGCGCCCCGGGTGTAGTCATGGCAGAAGAGCCAGGCACACACCTGTCACGGAGTCCCCGGGCGATGCTCTGGAACTGCTCCCCACAAAACCAGTCAGGACTCTGGGGAGCCTCCTCTCCTTGGAGCAGACTGTCTTCAGGGCAAGAAGCTCACACGGCTTCACCTCCTGGGAGCATTCAGCATATGTCCCCTCCATGCGCTTCCCACAGCGAGTCCGCCCAGGCGGGGTCCTGGGGCAGCCAGAGGGTTCTGCACCCCCCACTTCGCAGTCAGACGTGACTCTCAGCCAGCCAGTAAAACAGAGGTTTATTAGATGACAGGAACACAGTCTACAACAGAGCTTGTAGGTCCAGCAAATGGGACCCCTCCGCCGGGTCCGTTCTGGGGCCCAGCGAGGCAGACCCCCATCCGCCCTCCCTTCCCGTCCCCAGCCAGCCCCAAACTCCCATCCCCATCCAGCCCCTCCTTCTCTGGGCTTTGTCTCTTTCCCGGGCCAGAAGGTCACCTGATCCCTTTGTCTCCAACACCTTCAGTTGGCACCTTTGCAGAGGAGGGGCCCAGGCCATCAGTTGCTAGGAGACAGAGTGTCGGGCATTTATGTACCCTGGCCCTTTGCTCAGCACGAAACCTCCACCCTTGT